CCGCCCCCCTCCAGGTGCTGCCCCAAGCACAAGCTTGGTGGGCTGGTGCCTGGAGCCGGCCCTGCAGAGAGGGAAAACCCAGCAACATCAGATCCAGACACAAGGCAACGCACTGGCTGGTGAGTCACTTTGTCAACTGTTCCTTTCAGAGCGTGCACTGTGAGCAGCGGTTTGATACCGAGGCATGGAGCCCTCCATCTCGTGGCCAGCAGATCCGATGCTGTGCAGGTCGGCAGTGCCTGAAAGCCTTTACCACGACGTGTCTGCTGGCTGTCGGTCCAGTTCCTAGCTGACAGGCGTCTACAGCACACAAGGAGCCCTAGTGAATCTGTCGCTGTCTCGTCCCCTTGTTGGCAGTCTCAGAGTTGCCCAGGATTGAATGGATCACGGAGAGACAACAGCAGAAGGGTTGGTCCCTCCAGTTCATGGCTGAGGCTCATCTGTCAGATGGAGTTTGAAGCAAGCTTATGCTTGATGTACCTGCTCTCTGGATAACAAAAGGACTTCGGTCTCCAGGGGTGTCTGCCTTTTAACTGGCACTGAAATCACCTTAAGAAACAACAGCAGAAAGGGGAAAGACCTCCTTTCTCTCCCATAACATACAGAGCACAGGTTGCTGGGGTGACTACTTATTTTTATATCCTCATTATGGCCTTGTCTACGCCTACATATTAAGTTCACCTAGTTCCATCGCTCAGGGCGGTGAAAAAATGTCACCCCTGATGTGACATAGTTAGCTTGATCTGACCCTCACTGTAGACGCAACGAGGTTGATGGAAGAATTCTTCTGTCCACCTAGCTACTCCCTTGCAGAGAGGTGAATTAATTACAGGGCACGTCTTCACTACCCGCCGGATCAGCGGGTAGCAATCGATCTATTGGGGATCGACTTATCGCATCTAGTGAAGACGTGATAAAATCGATCCCCGATGGCTCTGCTGTCGACTCCGGAAATCCACCGCGGCAAGAGGTGGAAGCAGAGTCTACGGCGGTGCGGCAGCTGTCGACTCGCCGCCATCCTCACAGCCAGGTAAGTCGACCTAAAATACACAACGCTATTCACGTAGCTGAAGTTGCGTATCTTAAGTCGACCCCCCTCTCACTCCCCCCCCGTAGTGTAGACCTAGCCACAGTGATGGGAAAACTCAGTCAGATGCTTCCTATGAATAGCTGCAGCCTACAGGCGGTTACCACACACACAACCTCCATTCATGCATTCCTGGGTCTCAGATTTCCCCAAGCTGCTTCTATTCTGATGTACTCCAGTATGTTAACAATGAGTATATTCACAGGGGTCTAGCCTCTGCCCGGAGGAACTAGCTGCGGGTTCTCCATCTGATGGTACAGGCATCACTGTCCTGGGATCCGGTGATGGAGCTAGCCTCAGAAGATGACTGCAGTTTGGTGATATCTACCAAGAGGCTGGCAGCATTGTCTCTGGTGGGCTTTAGAGATGCTATGAGGTTTCAGTTGAGCTGTCTCAGGAGGTGCCTGTCTGAGGTTGCTAGCACTTTAGTACCACCTCAAATAACTGCATTAAGGGGAATTTCCCAAGATAGCGTTGTGGTTATCTTCATATGGGCTTGATGCAGGGAATCAATCTCTGGCCTTGGCTATGCAGAAGATCAGACTAGATGGTCATAACGGACTCTTCTGGGCTTAAAATCTGAGTCTGTATTTAGGAGGGCCTCTCCTTGGCTGACCTCTTTCTGACTCTTCACTTATATCACTAGCTGCAGCACCGGGTGTTAGAGATGGATCCAAGCCCCAGTCTGGGATCCAGGTGTCCCTGAACCACTCAGATCCAGATTAGAACTTTCTAACCGGCCCCTAACTGTGTAAACTAAAGGCCCAGGCCAAACTAAAACCCTGGGACCAAATTCTGGGCCCTTTCAGATCTGGCCCCCCATGCCCATCTCACAATGCCCCTTTCCTTTAAACTCTACATCCATTTCTGCCCTGAGCTAGCAAGTCACTTCACCTCCCTGTGCCTCAATTTCCCCACCTTTCAAATGGGATTAATGATACTGACCTCCTCTGTAAAGTGCTTTGAGGTCTCTAGATGAAAAGTGCTGTATAAAAGCTAGGAATTATTATTATTCTGTCCCCAAACCAAACAACCGCAGGCTCCTTTCCATCACACAGATGAGTAACACTGGCTCCAGTGCTTGCTTCAACTCTTTCCTTAGTCTCCTATGAAGGCTGCCACCAGGGGACACCACTAGCTTCTCCCCAGAACCCATCCCGCCTCAGAATGTGCTTTCCAGCGAACCCTGTAGCTGTGGCGGGCTGGGTGACAAAGTACATCCTGGTGGAGTCCCCGCGTATGAGCGCTGGCTCAGGCACAGTGGAATGTTCCATCTCCCTGTCTGCATCTCCGCTGACGGGACATTCTTCCTCACCCAGCATTACATTTGCAGACTGGCTCGTCCTCTGCAGTGATATTTAATAACCGGAGCGGTGAGGCTGCGTGGATTCCTGTCCAGATGTGTGTTTGTAGCTCTGAGCGCCAGTTTCTCCTGTTGCTTTCGATCATCACTTGCACTCACTTCATTTTGCACATTCCTGCGGGTGTTCCTGCAAGCCAACTTTTCTGGCTTTCCAACATGAGACTGAAACCACAGGCCAATGCCTCTGGGGAGAGTTAACCCTGCTGATGTAAAGGGGGTGCCAGGGGAAAGACTGGACTGCTCCAAGCTGTATGCCGAAGTCTCCTTCCATTCAGCGAAGGGATAAGTTATCCGCTCCAGTCTAGTCCCTATGCACGTCCTGGGGATGCCAGTGGTAGAAACCCTTTAGCTAGATTGAAAGGTGCTATATAAGTGCAAGATGGTGCTGTTATTAAAAGAAAGACATTGAATAAGAAGGCCAAGGCTTAAACTTTGTTTGCAGAGTTGTTGTAGCCATGTTGGTCCCAGGATATATGAGAGACAAGGTGGATGAGGTGTAGCATCCTTTATTGGATGAACTTTTGTTGTTGAAAGAGACAAGCTTTTGAGCCACACAGAGTTCTTCTTCAGGTCTGGGAAATTTAATTATCACAGCTAAATACTGTACAAGATGGAACAGCTTGGTAAGCATAAGAATTTAACAGGTTGCAAGAGACCATTCAAGATGAAGTGGGCAATTAACACCTCTACAGTCACAGAACAAAAGAGGGTTAGTGAGTTACAGATTTTTGTAATGAGACATAAATTCCGTGTCCATAACTTTTAGCATCTTGCAAAGTTATGAATGTAAGCTCCCAGGCTTGTCTTTGGATGGTGGTGTGCAGGTTTGAGGACAAGGACTGAGAGGTCACCTATAGAGTGGTCGTTTTGTGAAAAGTATTCACCCATAGGTGACAGGGTGTGTTGTCTTTTATGATTTTTCTGTGTGAGTTCATTCGAGAGCATAGTGATTGTCTGGTTTCATCCACGTAGTTGTTGAGGCATTTGATGCAACAGATGAGGTACACCCCAAGTTGTGATAGGCATATGAAGGACCCAGGGATCGGGGAGCAGGGGGGATTTATCATTGCAGCAGTAGAGATATGTCTGCAGGTTTTGCATCTGTTGTTATGACAGGGTCTAGTGCTGCTTTGACTTGGTGTATCTTGGTCTGTGGGAAGCTTGCTTCTGATAGGGTACATCTACACTACAGGGGGGAGTCGATTTAAGATACGCAAATTCAGCTACGTGAATAGCGTAGCTGAATTCGACGTATCGCAGCCGACTTACCCCGTTGTGAGGATGGCGGCAAAATCGACTTCTGCGGCTTTTTGTCGGCGGCGCTTACTACCACCTCTGCTGGTGGAGTTAGAGCGCCGATTCGGGGATCGATTGTCGCGTCCCGATGGGACACGATAAATCGATCCCCGAGAGGTCGATTTCTACCCGCCGATTCAGGCGGGTAGTATAGACCTAGCCATAGTGAGTTTGGTGAGTCTGCGGGGTTTGAAGCCAGAGGAGCGGGTTTAGAGAAGATTTCCTTCAGGATGTGGTCCCCATTGATTATGGGGTTGTAATTGTTTGACAATACCCTGTATGGGCTCCAGAAATTGGTCCAATAAAAGATATTATGGGGGTGGAATGTGGCAGAAGTTTAACAGCAGACACTACAGGAATGCTTCTTGGCCTTCTAGGAGAAGAAGTAAAGATGACTTTCATAGCCATCTGAAAACACAGGCGGACTTCAGGGAGACAGACTTGTATATAGGTCCTGTACAACGCCGACCATTTCAGAAAATGAGATGATTGCTAGAGAAAGATCGGTTAGAATGTAATTATCCAGACTGGAATTTGCCCTGGACGCTGGGATTAACCACCCTCCTCTAGGCCAAAAAAACACAATGGGATATTTAATGAGCCCAAATGGCTGTGGCCCCTCAGTTTTCCAAAGCTGGCACTCCAGCAGCACATGCCCTATAGCACCAGGCTGGGTTTGTTACGGAGATAGAAGAAGGAACACCCACACTATGTAAGCATCTCTTGGCAATCTTCCAATCCAAGTACCAACCTGACCTGCCCCTGCTCGGCTTGTACATCCCAGGTGAAACTATTAGGAGGGAGGCAAAGATCACTGTGCTTTGTGGAAAGGACCTTGCAGAAATGACCCTGCCCACCTCTCATTCCCTTACCTGAACCCTGGCTTCTGTTAGGTCCGTCCTTAGTGCCAGCTGCTCTCTGGCATACACATCAGGGTAATGGGTTTTCTGGAAGACCTTCTCCAGCTCTTCCAGTTGGAAGGTGCTGAAGGTCGTCCTGTTCCTCCTCTTCTTGTTCTTGTTCTTGGATAGCTCCAGGGTGTCAGCGAGCTCGGGGGAGATGTGCTCCCTCAAGCTGCCCAGAGACGCAGCCGGGGAGCAGCTGAGATCAGGGGCTTCTTCCAGTGGGGCTCTGCAGTCTGTGGGCACAGGGTGGTATTCCTGCCCTTTGGCACTTTTCTCTCTGGCTGCAGTGGGAACACACAGAGCAGTGGGTTAAACAATCACAGAGCCATACTGTTGCCTGCTGCCCCCACCCCTCAAGCATTGCTCTCTATGGATGTTCTAAACTATTCCGGACCCAGGAGCTTGGCTGGTGGCTCTGAATAGATTAATGCAGCACATGTTTTTCCAAGTTCCCTATTAAACACTGAAACAGCACCACGGGTCTGGGGCGGGTGCCGAGAGATTAGGGCATGTATTTCTGGGGGGAAATCTCCTCTGTGCCCTGTCAGGCAAGAATTAAGCACTCCTGGCAACTGAATGGCTCAGCCTTGGGGTGGCAGGGCTGGTGGATGAAATCACTAAAAGGGGAAAGACACACAAGGACAAAGAGTGGGTCCAAATCCATCTTGACAACGATTGCAGTATATCCAGAGGGGAAAGACTACGCCTCTGCTGGGGTATAGATGAAAGCTCAGAGCCAGTGAGTGGGGCCTGGGTTTTCTCCTGGGGGAAGCCAATGAAGGGCTAGGTTTTACAACACCTTTTAGCGTAGCAGCCAGGGGCTCAGGAGACCAGAGCTCAGTTCTCTGCTCTGCTACTGACCTCTGTGTGTGACCTCGGGCAAGTCAATCAACCCTGTGTCTCAGTTCCCCTTCTGTCAAATAGAGATAATAGCCCTTAAAGAGTGTGAGGCACTTGGGTACTAATGTGATGGGGGCCACGTATGTACCTAAAACAGAGAGAGAGTCTGTTACCTGCATTGGTTGCATTGGCCTAGAGCATGGTACATGTGTATCTCCTGTCAATTTAACAGATGGGATTAGAATTGAAAAAAGTACAGAGAAGGGCAACAGAAATGATTAGGGGATGGAAAAAGCTTCCACATGAGGAGAGATTAAAAAGACTGGGACTGTTCAGCTTAGAAAAGAAACGACTCAGGGGAGGATATGAGAGAGGTCTATAAAATCAGGAATGGTGTGGAAAGAGTGAATGGGAAAGTGTTATTTATCCTGTCACATAACACATGAACCAGGGGTCCCCCAATGAAATTAATAGGCTGCAGGTTTAAAAGGAAGTGCAATTCTTCACGCAATGCACAATCATTCTGTGAAAGTTGTTGCCGGGGGATGCTGTAAAGGCCAAAAGTATAACTGGATTAAAAAAAGAATTAGATATGTTCACGGAGGATCGGTCCATCAATGGCTATTAGCCAGGATGGGCAGGGATGCAACCCCATGCTCTGAATGTCCTTAGCCTCTTGTTTGCCAGAAGCTGGGAGTGGACCACAGGATGGATCACTATAATTGCCCTGTCTGTTCATTCCCTCTGAAGCACCTGGTGATGGCCACAGTCAGAAGACAGGGTACTGGGCTAGATGGACCATTGGTGTGACCCAGTACGGCTGTTCTTATGATTATAGGACAATTATTGATGCTGTTGTGATCCCCTTGCCTCCAACAGGAATTGAGGGCACACAGAACCATTCATTCTAGGGCTTGCCCAGCTGTCTGCTGCTGCAGGGGTCTCTGAGTCTCTAGCAGTGGGATGGGTGAGGGATACTGAAGCAGGAGGCCAGGGGTGTGAAATGAAGAGTAAAGAGGGGGGTAGGTGAGATGAATGGAGGCTAGGGAGCAGGATGAATTAGGCAGAGTGCACCTGCAGGGCCAGATCCTCAGTGGGTGTAAACCTGCAATAGTTTCAATGGAGCTGCACTTATTTACACCCACGGAGGGTCTGTCCTGAAGCACGGGCAAGATGAGATTGTCCCAGCACACCTACTGAGCTTCCTCCCACCCTTTCTCCATCTCCAGGCCAGCTGGACACAATATCTGTCTCACCACCGATGGAGCAATATCTTGCCTGGTGTGGCGGCAAACAGACATGCTGCACAACCCTGGTGCGTGGCGATGACTCCATTCTTGCACGCCCTGGGTTTGCAGCCCCTGAACTACCGCCATTGAAAAAGTGCTGGAGGCCAGGGGCTCCCCAAAGATCTAAATCTTTCTCCAGAAACTATTTGGAAAGAACTCCCCCATGAAAGCCATCCCAGCGCCTTTGAACAGCACCGCCCAGGGCAACCATTTCCCAGCCCGAATCAATTGTTTGAAGAATTGCCTTATAGAAAACAGCCCGTGGGGAATCTAGAGCAATATGTTTGTGCTGCGTTTTTCTCCCCACCCCGTGTCTGGAATTTGTACTGAAATGTGTTGGAGGGAATAAATCAGAGCACATACTGAAAGAGGAACTCGGGCTGCCTTTTCCAGCCACAAGCCAGGAGCGTTCTCTTTCACACGGATTTGGCTGCCGACGGTGACAAGCAGAACACAAGAGGGAACCGCACCAGTGGGGAAGGTCTTCTGGGGCCAGCTCCTCGGCGGGTGGAAATTGGCTTCATAGCCATCAGTGGAATGTTGTTGATTTTCGCCAGCCGAGGTCCTGGCTCTTGGTTAAAAGCAAAAGTCTAAAATACCAGCATGAAGGAGGCTGCAAAGGGGGCAGCAACCAGGCCTGCCCATTCCAGGGAAAGGCTGGTGTGTTGAAGAGTCAGGCCTGGAATGTCCTGGGTGCTGAATCTTGACGACTCCTCAATCCCTACACTGTTACCAGTGTGGGCAGGCAAAGCTTTCCCAAGTTATCCGGGGCTCTCGGTGGGGTCCACCCTGAAGCTGCAATGCCAGCCCATTTAACCCACTTGGTGCCCTGTGTCATCAAGCTCTTCAGTGGCTGAGACATTTTACCCCATCAATGCCCCAGGGGAAAGGAGTTGCTAGGAAACTGCTTTCCTCTTTGCTGCTTTCCTCACACCTGGTTCAACTCACCTGCAGGCTATGACTTTCAGCAGGTGAAAATGGGGTAAAGGGGCCCAGGGGAGGAAGAGGCAGATGTGGAAGCCATGGAAATTGGGGCTGGGGATACACAGAGGAAGCCCTGGGGCTGACGTTCCTGTCCTGGTTTCATTCTAGGGAATGATTTCCCTTCCTAACGGGATCCAGCCTTCTGGGGTTTCCTCTCCACACCATGGTCTCTTTCTCCAGCAGACAGGGCACCAGGGCACAGAGTTTTAACTGGCCTGTGCTTGCTTTCTTGATATTGGGCCTGATCCTGCACCACTGGGGGCAAATGGGGATTTGGGTCGTGGGCTTCAGTGATGGCAGGATCGGGCCCAATATTCTTTGCTTATCTGGGTCTCGTATAGGTTGAATGGGGTGGACCCTGGCGCCTGTATAGACTGTATGGGATGGATCCTGTATGGATTGAATGGGAAGGACCCTGGATCCTGTATAGACTGTGTGGGACGGATCCTGTACACAGGGTCTGGTCTGGTGCCTGGTTCCTTCCTTGCGGACTATCCCTATTCCGTCCCAGTGGTTTGTTTTTTAGCTGGGCTCACATAGGACTGAGCCAAGGGAGGGGGTGCTGCAGGGTGGCCGCTGGCGCTAGGGTTAGCCGCAGAACGGTCTGTCTGAGCAGCTGGGAGCGAAGGGGCTGGAGAGAAAGTTCCTTTCAAATACCTGCTGGAAAGTGATGCCTTTAACTCCGAACCATCTAAGCAGAAAGTTTATCTTGAAATATTGCACTAGATTCATTTGAATTGACCCATTGTAGTCTCTTTCTGTCTTTTCTTGCCCCTCTTCCCTTCCCTTCCCTTCTTTCCCCCTCCCATCGCTTCTCTCTTCCTTTCTTGGCTTGTCAGCCGGCTGGTTTGTTCGTTCCGTTCTCAGCACCCTACCCAAATTCCCATTTTATTCCTCTACCGAATTACAAAATAAGGCCAGCCGAGAGTTTCTGGAGAACTAGACTGGCCTTCCAGGGTCCGAATTTACACCAGATCTAGAGTCGGGATCTTGCACCTAAACCTGAAAAGGGAAAGTCGACTCTTTTTTTTTAACTTGATATCTCGAATCAATTTACAAAACTCAATCGATCGGAATTCGTGCACGCAACTCTGATAGGAACCCAGCACCTTCCCTTTTTCTCCTGCCTCTTAACCGGTTTCTAATTAGAATCGGCTCCTTCTCTCCCCGGACTAGGAAGTGGGTTTATTTAGGGATTTTTTCCGCTTAATTAAATCAATTTGGGGTTTATCCCAACAGCCGAGTCTGAGTCAGTTTGTTTCGATTAATTCCCACCACGGGAAATGTTTTCTCTGGAGGTAGACAACAAGACACGTTAGAGATCTTTCTCTCTTTTCTCCACAGCTATGTTTATCTAGCTATTTTAAATAAATAGCTACAGATATAGCAATGAAAATAGATACCTGGGATGGATAAAAATAAAAGTAACGGGTTTTCTCCATTTTATTTCCCAAGGTATCGACAGAGGCAAACATTCATGAGACAAAATTTAGCAATGCCCTTAGCTGAGATTCTATTTTTAAAATCAGAACGAGGGGATGACCCCCAACTGTTAGGTAAAGAGATGGGAGATTGTTCTGTTGGGCAGGGAAAGATGCTTGGGCTGAACTGATCCCACAAATTAGGTTCATACGGTGATGCCTCCCCCCACAAAATCTGGTCAACAAAATGATCCCGCCGTTTTTCTTCAGCTGCTTCTCTTTAACACGCATCCCATCTCCAAAACACACCCTAAATCAATCAATCAATCGGCTGAAAGAAAAAGACAGGAAGGAGGAAGGGTAATAAAAAAATCACAGGCGAGAGAAGAAGTGGCTAGATCGTGCTAGAGATTTCTCCGTGTGTATTTTGATGGACTATCTGACCCAGAAAAGACAGACGGGTTGTGAAGCTGGCAGGGTTAGCCGCTGGGGAACAATTGTTGGGTTAAAGTGGAAAAACTCAGAGACCGTTATTCAAGGGATGGGGGCAAGAAAGAAACCCTTCCGCCGTGAGGGGCGGGGGGGAATGTGGTCAGCTGCACGGGAAATGTGATACAGGCATGTATAGGCAACCATCACCCCGGTATCTGGGCGCGTAAGAGACCTGCCCAGACCAGCCTGTGGACTAACCATGCATCAAACCTAGTCAATTTCACCTAGTCATTTTCTCTTGACTACTGAATTCCT